ATTTATGTTCAAACAACATGTAAAAGTGAATTTTGCATCCAATGACCCCTTTAAGAAGCCGTCTTAATTACGTATGTGGCAAAAGCTGACATGAATATGTGATAGTGTCTCGTCTTCATACTTGACTAGCGTTAATTTCACTTTTTTGCTGTAGGCACACATTGCAAACATGGCGCAGTTTATGGCACATGTGGACCTGGCTGCACTAAAACCTGCAATAACTGGAACGAAATCAGACCTTGTCAAAGGCCCTGTGTCGCTGGCTGCCACTGTCCGGCCAGCCTGGTCCTGTTTGAGAGCCACTGCATTAAACCTACATCCTGCCCCGGGCGATGACCCACAGGACTCGTATAGAAGCAGAGGGCTGCGAGAGATCCAAACACACAGAGGGAAAGAGAACTGGGCACGCAATTTTGCAAACAGGACTGTACAATACTCAAGCTACTGAGAGACACACTCCTTCCCTCAGCAGGGAGACTCACCACTAGTTCCCTTTGGCTTCTCTGTGGGGACTCAGGATCTCACTGCTCGCTGTATGTGGATTTCTCATAGGTGGTGAAAACCAAATGCTAAGTGCCTTACTGAATGAGCTCAGTTACCAATGCTTTAATCATAAAAAAGGACCTGAACTGGACATTATGTGTGGGGAATATGGCATACAATAGTATTATCCATTTATTGGGTCAGCCAGTATTTAATTCACAACTGCTTGTGTAATGTATTTGTTCTTTATTTTGTAAGTCGGGGACTCAAATGTGACTGTTATAGCATTAAAGAGAAGTGTACTGTATTCGTCCAGCCAAGTGTTCATACACTGATGTGTGTATGTGTTATTATAAATGTACATTTTACTTGACCCATTAAGATACTAATATACGACCAGTATAAAGCTTATATACTTTTAAAGAAAAACGTGCTTATTTCTGAAAAAAGTTTTGTCATCAGGAAGTGCAGTGACGTTTGTGCATACAACTCAGGTTCAGCAATGTCTTGTGGTGATTCAGGACTGGGATATAGAATGACTTTGCAGCTATGGCAGAGGAGCCCAAGAACTAAAGCAAAAAAAAAATCATATTACGTGAAATGGTGGCAAGAATTTGGCTGGTTACATAATCTACTTGTAGGGACTGTAAACTGATAAAACTTTTACATTACTAACCTGAGTGTTAAGTGTGTTGAGTGTTCAAGTCCTGTAGTTCAGTTGTGAACTCGTGATCATACAAGTGTTATTGTTTGAGCTACATTAAATCTGACTAAACACACACACGGGCACAGCCCTAAAAGAAAACAACATTCTTTCCACAACTCTGAAAGACATCTGAGAGAAAGAGAGTTATCAATCAACGTAATGGAGTAGTTGACTCATGAACATTTTTTTCAACAAAGATTTAGTAAAATTTTATGTTTGTGTAGTTTTGGTTGTAGATTCTGTACCACAAGTTTATACCTTTTTCCAACAACTTTTGCCTTGACTATAGCAACTGAAAAATTATGAATATATTGTGTCCTCCACTTATATTGGCATCCTTGATAAATATGAACAAAACAGGCTGTGAATTCTTTCTTTCATTTAAAATTGTCAAAAATTAAATATCAACTTTAAGTAAAATTACATGAAACAAACAATGTGGAACACTTTGTCCTACGTAGGGTGAATAAATGAAATGTTCATGTCCAAAATATTTACCTACAAATTCTCAAGAGTAAACATCTTACTGAATCTACCTAGGGGAAAAAAATAATTCATTCACGTCATTCTAAACCTTTATGATTTTCTACTGTTTACAGGTGCTAGTTGGGTCTTGGGATCAGAAAGTTTCCAAAACTATGATCGGACCTCATCTGTAAGCTCAACTTGTTTGAGAAAATGTCCAGAAATAGCCTTTGGTGTCATCAAATAAACTTAAGATGGCCAGATGAGACCAAAATAAATATATATTTTTATGGAAACAAACCAATAGAGGTGGGTTTTTGGCATAAACAGAAAGAAGTCCCGCATCGCTACTAAGTATTCTCTGTGACCTTTAATGCTTGTGCTGCTAATTTTCTACTAAATGTTAGGATACATGGTATCATAAACTCCAATAAATGCCAGCAGATATTAAATCAACATCTGACTGATCTGTCAATAAGCTTAAAATGTGCCGTGGTTAGACCTTCCAGCAGGAAAGGCTGTCTATGCATACTGAGCTCTTTCTTCTGTCATTATACTATATACATATACTAATGCAATCTGTAATTTTCACTCATTGAAGATATCATAATTTATTATAGTATATTAAAGATCCCATTAAAGGCACAATATGTAAGATTTTTTTTTTTTAAATATCCAAAAACCACTAGAACAGTTTTATATATTTTGCTGACTTGTGTACTTACATTATCCCAAATGTTTCGAAGAATGTTTAAATCCAGAGTTCAGCGGCCTCGTTTCGCTTCGACGGCTTTCAGCCTCACCCTGCTTCATACTACGACGTTAATAAATCATTAGCCATTAGCCAATCATTAGCGCAACCATGAACATGATTTCTGCCCGAGTCCCGTCGGATTGCATCAGCTGTGGGGATGAAGACGACAACTCCCATGATTCCACACTCAGTCACGGCGTCATCTAACTACGCCTTTGTTTCTTTTTTTGTTTTGAATACGCGCCCTCTAATGGCAAAAAATTACACATTGTGCCTTTAAATCACTTGAAAATAACAATTTAGTTTACTGTGTTTAAGTATTTACTTTTGAAACAGGATGTTTCTGATCATACTGCAGGAATATTCTAGTGACAATAAATTATAACTATCCATATGCATTATTTTGGCAGAAAGGAAAGTGGGAATGAATATACTAATTTTAAAGTAAAAAAACATACATTGCAACTACAAATGGCTTCCAATTGTTTTAATTTTTTTCAGTGTCCAAATAAGTTTTAAAGTCTAGCGTGACTGCAGCTCTACCCATGTTTCCTTAAAGACTTACAGATAAATGGCCATTACTTTTACAGCTTTATCAACGTATAAACAGAAAAATTGAAGTCATCAAAAATCACTGATGATGGATTAGGCATTAGAATTGACATGCTTACATGCTGCTGCATTGCTGAAGGTTCCATCTCCCTGTAAAAGCCTGTTTGCAAACCCTGCGTTTATTTGTGACTGGTTTACAAATGAATTCAAAGTGGAATGTACCAAACATCCAATGATGTTCCACTCAGACAGTCACATAATTGAAACTAAGCAGCTTTTCCTAACATTACAATCTATCAGCAGATAATGCTATTTTTTAGTCAAGTGATACTGTTTTCGGATTTCTCCTTTCTATCCTTATCACCTCACTAATGTACCAATGGGTCAGGCCAAAGAGCTGATGAAGTAGCAGGTGTTGATAGTGTCTGTGCAACAGTCTTGTGCTGATCTATTCATCTGTATGACATTACACAGACAAGGATGTTTTAAAAAAATGTGTCGTCATTTCAATAAAAACTGTTTTTGGACTTACAAGGAAGTTTGAGTTGAGTTAAGCTGACACTAACAGCATGCTTTGATAGTAAATAAATGTGTCTCTTATGTGTCAAAAGGAAAATTACGGAAAATTTCATTAATAAATCTGAAAGTGTTTAAATTATGGCATATATACATATCTTATGTATATAATATTGTATGGTTTCTATATTTTTATATGATATGTTTCTGATACAAAAATCCTACCAACACCTCAAGGGGGAAGAAAAAATGACCACTTTAAACTGTCCCGATACATTCAAACTGTAGACAAAGCTATATGCAGTTATATGTATTGTAGCTTTTATATTTTAAATCTTTTTGTCAGTATACAAAAATAAATTATTAAAAAAATGAGTTTAATAAAACTCCATTAATGAATATAAACGTGTGTTAGGCTTTGCTATGAACTGAAAAACACAAAGGGGATCACTGTTGGATCTGTTATGGTGATAATAATCGCCATAGCTTCTCTCAATTGTCAACTAATCACTTACATTCCCAAAATCAATAATTAAATAATTGGACTTTGGATTTCTTTTTATTTTCTTCATTTTACATTCATGCAGTCTTTGTTCACTGATATCAGTAGAATCACAGATATGAAGTGTCAGTTCATTATCCCAACCAGTCACTGGGCACCCATTTTTGGAACAACTGTTGGCTAGATAGATCCTCAAGTTGCGCCGATTCATTTTCTTCCTCTGCTTCAAGCAGGTTTTTTAAAGAGCTGCTTCTTCATTTGATAGAGACACCATTTTGCAATACTCTTGTGCAGGCATGATTTTCCACATTTGCCACAAGGGCAGTTCCAAGTGTTTGTCTTGGCATTGTAATCCACCAAGACTCTGCCCAGTTTACTGTAATGTGACACCTTTGGCTTATATATTGATATATAATAAATGTAGTCAGGGCCTCCAATGGTAACAAGGCTAGTAAATGTGGCACCTTTAAGCTTAGCTTGATTTTGCATTTTAAGGCATCGTTTTTTCCGTATATCTCCAATCCATTTCCGCTCCACCATCTCAGTCAACACATGCTCTGATAAATCCTCACTCGGTGCAACAGCACAGGTGTAGTCTACTGAGCTTAGATGCACACACTGCACAACCAAAAGTCCTCTCCTTTGTGCCACTTCAACACGATTGTTGCAATTATCCATTTCACACTTAACCTTGTGGGATGAACCCCAAAATTTTTTGACCACATGGATGGGGGTACAGGGCTCACAAAATGATTCTGATACAACGTATATTCCATACTTTTTATCGACACACTGTGCTGGTAGAACTGAAGTTATGGTATGCAAGGCTTCATGATGCTTCCGCTCAATGTGTTTCTTTAAATTTTTAGAATTAAGACTGAGCCCGCAGTGAGGACACTGCGCTGAGATTTGCTTTCTTTTAGCCATCACTGGACGAGCTGGTAATTTCAGTGGACCAGGTGCTGGTGGCTGTAAAGAAGGTGCTTCTGGAGCTATTGGATGAGCGCTGCAAAGATGCTTTTTTAGCTCACTTTTCTTGAAGTAAGTCTTGGGACACTTGCAGCAGTGAAAATGTCTGGCCTTTTTACCACAGCCAATGTTACAGCTGTATATAACATAATCTAAAAGTAAACAAATATGTTAGTAGACATGTCCCTGCATAATGACTTTAAAGGGGTCATATGATGTTGCTAAAAAGAACATTATTTTGTGTATTTGGTGTAATGAAATGTGTTTATGCGGTTTAAGGTTAAAAAACCACATTATTTTCCACATACTGTACATTATTGTTTCTCCTCTATCCCCCGCCTTTTTGAAACGCATCGATTTTTACAAAGCTCATCGGGCTGAAAAGCGAGGTGTGCTCTCATTGGCCAGCTATCCAGTGCGTTGTGACTGGCCGAATACCTCAAGCGTGTGACGGAAATGTTAC